ACAATTTCTACTCAGCAGCTGATCAAACTGCCCCTTACCTCCTTCACCTCCATGGTTCCACTTTTTGTAGATCTAGACCCTTGTTTATCTTTGTTAGTCTGAATTCTTGTTCATCTTTACAAATTTGATACCTCCTTCAACCAATGATTTTACAATTCCATTTTTTGTCTCGAAACCTCGGATGTTTCTAAAAATTTGTTATGGTGACTGGTGTGGAAAGAGGAGGAGGAAGAAGGCATCGAGTTAGAAGGAGACAATAAGAAAGAAGATGGGGATATTTTAGTCTTTTTCTTTTTTATGGTTATTAAATTTAATATAAAAATTATTTTTTTAAAACATTCTCAAGATGAGCCAAACAAATTTATTGTAATCATCTTTGCATTACATTCCATTACCTATGATTCAATGAGCCAAACAGCCTCTAAATACTTTGTTAGATACGTTTAGTATCTTAAAATATTTTGTGACCCGTCTAACATCCTGAAATATATTTTTTTTAATGTACATTCACCATTGTAAAATGTTTGATGGTGTAATTTTGCTATTAAATTATCAATTTAAGGAAACATAAATGGATTAACAACAAAAACAAGGGATATTACAAGAAATATAAGGACACTAATGAAAAATGTAAGTGAATTAACAACAAAAATAAGGGGATTCACAAGAAACACAAAGACATTAACAAGAAATGTAAGTGAATTAACAAATAAATAGGCGTGTTAGTTCTTCTTCCAAGGCTTTATTGGTTTGAGAGAAAAATCAGCAAAATAATGGCCAGGTGCTAATGAGCAATAGCCTTATTCAACTTTGAAATAGTCTTCCGTTAGTAACCCCTCTTGGTTTCAGAATTGAGGCCGAATCAGGAAAAGGGAGTCGAGGCTACTGCCTTTTTTCCTTTTTAATTATACACAGAGAGGAAGCCCAGTGGCTTACCTGGATAAGTATGTCCATATGCATTCATAGTCAGCTGCGAATTCAACAATGTGTCAACAACCTCAGTTAAAATTAAACAACAAGCTTGATTTTTTTTTTTTAATACATACACAAAAGGTTAAACACGGGGATTAACCGTCGTGAATTTTCGCTTAGAAGACTTAAAACTCTGGATTTGCTTAAAGGAGACAGAGTATACCTGATATGCCGGATGTAGTTTTCATGACCTTTTGCTTGGTTCTATCACCGTGTAGTTCCACCTTCAACACTGCTTTCTGCAGGAAAATAAATCGTCAAACCACCATATTAGTCAATTCAAAGGGAATCGAAACAATAATATTCATTCAGACTTGGAAGCAAGGACGTTTGAAAGAGCAGGGCATATATAGTTCTGACCTTCATTGTCGTTTGCGTTTTTGTTGACATGTTGAAGCTAATTTCAGAGTAGTGAAAGCTAAAGGGAAGGTAGGCTTGTGAAAAAGAGGAAGATTATTAGAAGATATGGTTCAGTGTGGTGAAGTGAAGATATATGGCAGCCTAATTTATAGATGTTTGGATGGAAGACTCCGAGTAAACCAAGTCAGAAATCTATCTTGACGCGTCGCTTAGAGTCGCTTGGGATGACGCGAAACATGAATGAGGTCATCATTTTTGAATTATTGATTCTTTGCTTTGTTTGCATTGTTAATGTTTAGGTTAAATGATTAGGTTACAGTGTAAATTTATTATAAAAGCTTTTACTTAAAACATTGAGCATCTGAAAGTTTTTTGGGAAATAAATTTACTCCAAAAATTTAAAAATAATATTATCCTATACCGTTAAAAATATTAATGATCACGCCATTATTTTAATGGTTAACGTTAATCTTTTGACCATAAAAAAATAAACAAAAAATGGATCGAACAAGCAAGTTCAACCGGAAAATCGATAAACCAGCTATGGTCTGGTTTGGTTCAATCACTGAACCAGCTACATATCGAACAGGGAGTAAATTGGTGAAACCAGTAAAAACTAGTGTGAACCAATAATAAACCGGTTTGGATAATTATATTGTTATTGATACTATTTTTTTCTCATTTAGCTCCTAATATTTCAGTCATTATAAATTTTAATGATGATTTTGATATTAATAATAATTAATTTTAGTTATTAAGGAATTATAAAAATCAAAATTCTCAATATTGTTATACTTTATTATTGTTACAGTCAAACTATTGTATTTTCTTGTATTTTGTTACTAGTGATTATTATTGTTGTTATTTTTGTTATTTTTAATTAAACTATATTATTTTAATATGACTGGTTTGATTTCGGTTGAACCTCGGTCTGACCCGCTGACCCTTAAACCACTATCTCAAGGGGTTTAATGTTTGGTCTGGTTTTTTGTTCCTTAATAAAAAATAATATTATTGTAATTTTAAATTTCTAAAACAAACTTGTTCATAAAAAACTTTCGAATATTTATATCTTCTGGATAAAAACTTGGGAACAGATTTACCTTTCTAGTTCTATTTATAAGGTAGAAAGAGAAGACTTTTGTGGTCCTATTTATATGGCACTTAGAAAATTTTTCTATATGAATATATTATTTTATCTTTTATTTATTATTGTGTTGACTTTGTTTACGTGAGATATAATGTATATTAAATAGAGATAAAGTTACAAAGTTGTTAAATTTTAAATGAGAGTTAATGAAATTTAAGATTTTTCTTAATCTGTGTAAAATAATCATTAGGTATTTCACAGGGCATTTGGACGCCAACATGACTTTTTCTTTGGCGTCGTAAATATAATTTTTTTAAAATAAAAGGTATATAAATAAAAGGGGTTTAATATATAACTTCATATTATAAAAAATATATAATTTCATGTTGAACACGATTGTCATGAATAAAAAAGTATAATAGAGGATAATTATGATTTTGATGGTAAAAAAAAAAAAAAGATAATCATGATTTTAGGTAGTGGCCAGATAGGCCTTATCTAAAAGATCTAGATCCTCTCAAAATTCCTCCTCTACTTTTTTTTCCCTCACAATTTCATCGTCATTTTTAGATTAAAAAATAAATGGTTAATATTTGAACTGCACAGTGCAGAACTACAATATGAAAAAAAAATACATTTTTAATTTATATGATATATCAATAATAGAAAAATAAATGGTTAATATTTGAACTGCACAGTGCAGAACTACAATATGAAAAAAAAAATACATTTTTAATTTATATGATATATCAATAATAGTCTACATTTGAGTACTGTGTAGGTCAAGTTTTAACAATTTAGATTTATTTTTATGTAATATTATATAATATTTTTATAAAATATTAAATTTAAACTATTCATTTTGATTTAAGGGTCAAAATGGGATTGAGAGGGAAAAGAAAACAGGGGGATTTAGAGAGGATATGAGTCCCTCTTTAAAGGTGTTCTATTTAAGATTTAAAACCCACATGTTGATTCCTACATTTTAGAAAATAAAATTATAATAATTAATATTTTTTAAAATTTAAGGATTAATGTTGTAAATGACTAAACTATAGGAACAGTACGAGCAAAAAATATAAGAATTTAGTTACATCAAATTAGTTGAGAGATTACAATCTGATCAAATTTTAGGAATAATTATTAACACGCTTTTAGTTACTTAAAAGACATGGTAATGGCCCCAAGCATCAAATATCACAGTAGGTTATGATGTTTGAGGTCTGCACATAGTGAAGTAAATTAACATGTTTTTTTACTTATAGATATTCTCTTATTGGAAATAATTCTATTCGAGGAGTCAAACACTAAATATAGACACTTCTTCTAGCCGAAATTTGAACCTTAGTTCACTATATTGTGAGGGACTAACCCTTTCCACTAACTCTAACTTCCCGTTGGTAATATAGTTGAAAGCCCATAGGTTTGGTCTGATTAATCTTTTAAAATTTATTTTATTAATATATATTAAAATATGTAGGCTTCTAAGCTACATTTGCTAGGCTTTAGTGGGCTTAAAGCCTATTTGTAGCCTTCAAAGCTTAGAATATGAGGTCCTTTTACGAGTCTACTTTGTAATTAGGTTTTTAAAAATGCTTCAAGCTTGCTAGGCTTTTCGAATGCTTAAGCCTGAATCTGAAAAAATCAGCATGCAGGCTCATACTCAAGTTTTAGATTCTCATTACAGGCTCAAGCCTGTTTGGTGAAATCCTGACTTAGTATGGCATATTTCCATCTTGAGAAATAGGATAGGATGGGACGTGGATACCAATATGTTATTGAAATATTTTTCATATAGTGTAAATTGAAAATCTTAGTTTCCACAATTATAAATTACATTAAACATAATAATAATAATAATTTTTATTTTTAAAAAATATTTATGATCTTAAAACTTTTAATATAGTTTTACAAGATTTAAAGTAATTTAATGTCTTCTAAACTTCATAAGAGGTGAATAAATTGAGAAGCAAAACTTCACACCAAGAGCAAAATTTACGAATACACTCATTGTAACTATAATTTTCAATAGCAAACATACATATTACTCTAATTATAATTTCGTAACTTCATAATTAATATGGATGTGTGTGTATCAACTTTTGATGAAATAAGCAGAGAGCAAACTACCCAAGAAGTCTCAACATGATGACAAGCCCTTAAATCTATATCTAAACAATCTGAAATAAACCAAGGGATCAAATGAAACTTAGAGCCTCCTCTGGGCAACATCGTACAACACAACATTTTGCACGTCTTTAGAACTTTTATTTGGGGGCACTATCATTTGATATATATGTGTGTGTGTGTGTCCATTTTTTTTAGTGCTGGGGTTATCTGTGGTCCTTGAAGATATAATATAATTAATGATCACGTAATTATTACGTAGTCCTTCAAAATTAGTACATCTTTATGGCAAATTTTTATCGACTGATATTGGCCCTTCGAAGAAGACAATCAAAATTTGAGCTTAAGCTCAAATTTTTCAAATATGATGGGCTGGCCTTTTATGTACCCTTTTTTTTTTGTCTTTTAATGAAAAAAATGAAAAAGCTAAATATGAAGAAGACAACCTTTGTATAACAAACCAATCCCTTCAAGCACGTCACTTTCAAATTTCAATCCAAATCCAAGAGAGGTAAAAATAAAAGCCCAGCACATCTCTATAAATATATATATTTTCTTATCTTCATCTTCTGTTCTCTATTTATATGAAAAAGACACAGGCCTAAATATCTATCATCACAACCACATGCTTCCTTATCTTTTCTCTTTATTTTTTCTTTCCCACAAACGTAAGTTCAAAATTTAGCAGATGACACAGCCACTATTAGGATACCCATCCACAGTTCCAACATAATAAGGTGGAGGATAATAAACATGGCTGTAGCTCGAAGGAGGAGGCACTATCATTTTAGCTATATTCTCTATCTTTTTATCTTCTTTCTTCTCAGACTCTTTGGCTGCTCCAACAGATACTATCTCTGTATGACACAACTTCCTTAGCTTTTCCACCACCTTAACTGGGTCGATGTCTCCTGTTACAGTTAATTTCTTGTCCTTCATGTCCACGTTCACTGACTCAACTCCTGCAAAACAAAACCAAACCTGTCAATTCTTTCCCTTTCATAGAACAACCATATAGTATATATTCTGTTCGATGAGCTAATCTTCGAACGAAACTGGGTTTAGATTAAAACTCCAAGGAATGTGATGTTTTCTGTTTTCACTCGTAAGACTTAAAACTCAGGATTTGCTTAAAGGAGATAGAGTATATACCTGAAATGCCTGAGGTTGTTTTCATGACCTTTTGCCTGGTTCTTTCACCGTGTAGTTCCACCTTCAACACTATTTTCTGTCAGCAGATTAAATAAATCATCAAGCTGCTATCTTAATCAATGCAAGGAGAATCAAAAAAATAATATTCATTAAGACTTGGAAGGAAGTTTGAAAGATTAGGGGTCCGGTTCTGACCTTCATCGTCATTTGCGTATATTGCTGTGTTGAAGCTAAATTCAGAGCAGACGAGAAAGACAAAGGGAAGGTAGGTTGTGGAGAAGAGGAAGATTAGAATTTAGTAAGATATGGTTCAGTGCGGTGAGGTGAAGATATACGGTAGTCAAATTTATAGATTCATGCTTTGAAGACTCCTGGTAAACCCAGGCCACAGGTTTACCTTGACTAGTCCTTGACGCGTCGCTTAAAGTGACTTGGGTCATCATCTCAGAGAAAGCTACGCGACACACGAATGATGTAGTTTGAGTTTTAATTTAATTCTAAATATAATTTTTCAATTTATTTTTATATTTATTTATATAATTTTTATCAGTGATTATACATGCTGAATGTTTAATCAAATGATAGTTGTACCTATGATTAGTAAAAATATTTTAAGAAAGATAATATCTATTTATTATAAATAATTATTTTAAAATTTTTTTTCATCTATTCAAATAAATCAATTAATTTTTATATTAAAAATCGCATTTCGAATTATTGTTTCTTTTCTTTTGTTTGTATTAGTTAATGGCTTTTGGCTTTTTCAAAAGTGCACGGCAAAAAGTGGAGAAGACTTTTCCACGAAGGCCATCTTCTCCCTTCTGGGTTTGTTCCTGATCTCTCATGTGGCAACTTTTGAAGAGGCCTAAAAGTTAACAACTGCCACGTGTCTAGCATTGGTCAACTAGAAGTCAATCTGGACCCCACACTCTTTTGTCTTCTCTCATGCGGAGCCTTCCGCTGAATAACTTGAATGTTTCGTGGTGTGTTCGGACACCATGACAGCATGACTTCGTCTCTGGCCTCTTAAATATGATTCTTTTAAAATAAAAGGTATAGAAATAAAAGAGATTTAAATATAATTTCGCACTGAATACGATTGTTATGAAATTAAAAAGAAATATATAATAGAGGGATAATCATGATTTTAGATAGTAGCTATATGGATCCCTCTTTAAAAGATCTAGATTTTCTCAAAATTCCTACCCCGCTTTTTTTTCTTCTGGATTTCATCTTCAGTTTAACGTAAAAAATGAATGATTTTGATTTAGTATTTCATAGAAATATATAAAAATAAATAAATAAATTTTAAGTATTAAAATTTGATCTGTACAATTCAAAACTACAATATGGGAAAAATATAGAAAAAGTTAATTTATAAAATACTTTAATAGTAGTTCACATTGTCAACTATGCAAGTCAAATTTTAACAATTTAAGTTCACTTTGATCTAAAGATGAAGATGAAATTTTGAGAGGAACATAAGAAAGGAGGATTTAGAAAGGATATAGATCCTTCTTTTAAAAGTGTTCTCTTTATGATCTGAACTAAACTGCAAATAAAATGTTGGTCTCTACATTTTAGAAAATAAAATTACAAGGACTAAAATTGTTTTTTGAAATATATATAATGACCAATGTTTTAAATGACTAAAATTAGAGGAACCAATGTGGACCAAGTTAAAACTATAAAGGCTTAGTTGTACCAAATTACTTTAAAGATTCAGATTGAAACATAACTTTAGGAATAAATGATTAAGAGCTTGTTTAGTTTTTTGTTTTGAAAACAATTTTTTGTTTTTAAAAACAGAAAAACAAAAAACTTTGTTTGATAATTTGTTTTTAGTTGATTGTCTTAAAAAACAAAAAACAGTAACATGTTTTTAAAAATTAAAAAGCCAAAACAACTTTTACATATTTTCTTCTTTTTGCTTTTGTGTTTTTTATTTTTTGTTTTGAAAAATTTTGAGAAATCTTCTTCTCTTCTCACCTACTATGATCCACTGCTTATTATTACCAGTGACAACTATCACTTACCAAGTGTAGTTTTTCATGGTTTTTTCTTTCAAACGTGATTTTCTCAAATTATTATCCAAACAAATTCTTGTTTTTATTTTCAAAAATAGTTCTCATAAACAATTTTATAAAATTGTTTTGAGAACAAAAAACAAAGAAAAAAAAAAACAGGCCCTAATTTTCTTAGAAAAATATATGCTCCGAAACATTGAAGAGCGATTACATGTTCTGGAATAAGTAAACGCTTTTAATTACTTAGAGGTCATGATAATAGCAGTAAGCATAAAACATACATACTACTCTGATTATAATTTCGTAATTTCATAATTAATATGTATGAATGTGTGTGTGTATATAAACTTCTAAGCAAACTATCCAAGAAGTCTCAACATGATGACAAGCCTTTTAAATCTCTATCTAAAGAATCTGAAATAGACCACGGTATCACATGAAACTTAGAGCTTCCTCTTGGCAACAACTTACGTGCAAGACAAAATTTTGCACATCTTTGAAACTTTTATTTGGGGGCACCATCATTTGATATCTGTGTGTGTGTGCCCAATTTTTTTTGGTGTTAGGGTTATTTGTTTTCCTTGAAGATATAATATAATTAATGATCACGTAATTATTATGAAGTCCTTCCAAATTAGTACAACTTTGTGGCAAATTTTTATCGATTGACCTTGGCCCTTCAAAGAAGACAACCAAATTTTGGGCTTGGCTCAAATTTTTAAAATATGATGGGCCGGCTTCTTATGCACTCTTTTTATATTTTTAATAAATTTATCTCCTAATAAAAGAAAACTAAATATGAAGAAGACAACCAAAAACTTATCAAGGTTGCAAAAATATCTTCAATCACAACAATATTTTAGACTAATTTTGTATAACAAACAAATCCCTTCAAGCACGTCACTTTCAATCCAAATCCAAGAGGGGAAAATATAAAAGCCCACCACATCTCGATAAATATTACCTCCGGTCCTAATTATAAGAGCTAGTTGACTAATTTGAGGAGATTAAGAAAGTAAGTTGAGTTAGTTATTTGTCCTAAATAGGTATTGTCTTTCCTAAAATATCCTTGTTAATCAAGTGTATTAACTAGAACTATCATTCTTAGAAAGGCTACTTTGAAAAAAAATATATAAATATGAGAAACAAAGTGGATTGGGGTATTATATTTAGGACCAAAATAAAAGTCAAATAGGGTCTTATATTAAGGATCGGAGGTAGTATATAAATATGAGATACAAAGTGGATTGGAGTCTTATATTTAAGACCAAAATAAAAGTCAAACAGGATCTTATATTTAGGATTGGAGGTAGTATATACTTTCCTATCTTGATCTTCTGTTCTCCACATATGAAAAAGACAAAGCCCTATGTATCTATCATCGCAACCATATGCTTCCTTATTTTTATCTTAATTTTTTCTTCCACGCAAACATAAGTTCAAAATTTAGCAGATGACACAGCCACTATTGGGATACTCTTCCACAATTCCAACATAACAAGGTGGAGAATAATAAACATGGCTGTAACTCGAAGGAGGAGGCACAATCATTTTAGCTATATTCTCTATCTTTTTATTTCCTTTATTCTCAGACTCTTTGGCTGCTCCAACAGATACTATCTCTGTATGACACAACTTCCTTAGCTTTTCCACCACCTTAACTGGGTCAATATCTCCTGTTATGGTTAACTTTTTGTCCTTCATTTCCGCATTCACTGACTCAACTCCTGCAAAACAAAACCAAATCAAACCAATCAATTTTTTCCCTTTGCTATGACAGCCATACGGTATTCTGTCCAATTAGCTACTCCAAATACTAATGAAATTGAGTTTAGAACTCTAACCAACATGAGTTTCTTACTTAGAAGACTGAAAACTCAGGATTTGCGCAAAGGAGACAGAGAATATATATACCTGAAATGCCTGAGGTTATTTTCATGACCTTTTGCTTGGTTCTTTCACCGTGTAGTTCCACCTTCAACACTATTTTCTGTCAGCAAATAAGTCATCAAACAGCTATATTAGTCAATGCAGAGGGAATCGAAACAATAATATTCATTCGGACTCGGAAGGAAATTTGAAAGAGCAGGGGTACGGCCTAGTTCTGACCTTCATCGTCATTTGCGCATTATATATATTGCTGTGTTGAAGCCAATTTCACAGTAGCGAAAGCCAAAGGGAAGAAGAGGAAGATTATTAGAAGATATGGTTCAGTGTGGTGAAGTGAAGACATATGACAGCCAAATTTATAGATGTTTTGAAGATTCCCAGTAAACCCAAGTCAGAGGTCTATCTTGAGTCCTTAACGCGTCGCATAAGGCCACACGGGTCATCATCTCAGAAAAAGCTACGCGAAAACTGAATGATGATATCATTTTGAATTGTTTTTGTTTGGCAATTGTTTCTTTGCTTTTGTTTATATTAATGGTTTTTGGCTTTTTATAAAGTGTACGGCAAAAGTGGAGGAGACTTTTCCGCGAAAGACACATTCTTCCTTCTGGCCTCTCGGGGTGTTACTTTGAAGAGGCCAAACGTTAACAATCTGCCACGTGTCCAGCACTGGTCAACTATAAGTCAATATGGACCCTACACTCTTCTCTGGGTTTTTTTTTTTTTTTTTTGGATATAGGGGGAAAGAAAAAATACAAGGAAATTACAAAAAGTGAAGTAATGCCCCTCTGAAGGAGAAGACGACCTGTACTCTCACTGGAGAGGACTTGCAACCCAAAACCCACAGAGAGGGCTTCTTTTGCCAGCAGGTCCGCCACCCTATTGTGATTCCAACTAATGTGTCTCATCTGGACGATCCAATCACGTCACAAGTAGCTTTGCAATTCCATGATCAAGTCTTCATCTTCATGGAGGTTCACATCTTCTGAGTTACTTAGGGAGATCAGCTCGGTGGAGTCTGTGAAGAGTCTAACGACACGAAAACCACTATCCCAGCCTCGCCTAAGTCCCCAAATGCATCCCCAGATCTCAGCAGTGAGGCTATCTTTTCCTTCTATGCAACATACAAAGGATTCTATAGCTGCACCGTCACCCCTGCTCAAAACTCCGCCGCATCAGGCTGCCTAGGTTCTTCTGGAAAAGGCTCCATCTACGTATGCACTGATTTCGTCTCCTTTTGGAATACCATCGTTGAGCCTGGAAGTTTTCCTCTTGTTCAAAATGTTCTTTACTGCTTGTAACATACACCGTGTCACTCTATGAGCTTCTGCAACGCACTGTGATATACCGCTGCTGGCATTTTGATGCAGTGTCTCATTTTGTTGTTTCCATAT